ATATATACTTATATATGTTTTTGCATGTGTTTGGCATGGTAAATCTCACTTCTGCTGTTGTTTATGCAGTCAGTTTTCCTACCCAGCCTGTCCTGTTCATTTTTAATATTGTTGCGCCTATTATAAAAAATAAATAATAAAAATACACACACAAACATGTTTGATGGGGACTTTCCATAGACATAATGATTTTATACTGTACAATATTCTCTCCCCTTACACTAAACCCATTACAGAAAACTTTCCGCATGTTTACATTTAAAAAAAAATATACAATGCATCCTTGCTGAATCAAAGATCTGACTGACCCCAAACTTTTGAACCATTGTGTATAAATGTTGAATCATAATTTTATATAAATATTTGTAATATATTTAGTTTCTATTATAACTAAAAACACAGAATAAATCAGTCAGACTCAGTCTACACCTGTTGTTGAACCTCCTCACACACTCTTTGTTGTTACGAGGTCAGCGATCAAACTACAGTTGTCATATTAGAAATGTGAAGTCACCTAAGGCGCCGTGTGTTGTGTAAAGCTGCTGGATCATATGCAGTTCCATAACTCAGACAGACATTAACAGCCACATCAGCAGCAGAGCCAGCGATTGAAGAGGACATTCTGTCTGTCTCAATCATGCCACAACCCTCCTAATTAGGCAAAGCTTGAAGAAAGTGTGTCATGAGCTCTCAAAAAGAGATATCTGTGATTTGTTCTTGCAAATTGATTATTGTTTAGGATACATAACGACTATAAATCTATGGTCAGACTCAGCTTAGTGAGGGAGTATTTATCTGGAGGTTCTGGGGCCAGTGATGGCGAAGGCAGGGATAATGAGATTGCAGCTCAGGACAGCCGGCCAATCATGTGATGGGTCAGACAGCAGAGGGTGCAGGAGAAGAAAACCCTCAGGAAAGGACCAACCATCTGACTCAAACAGAGAGAGCTTTTCACATGTAAAGAGAGCTGTTGTTCCTCTTGCCTGAGGTGAATCTTTCTCCATGGCGTCCCGCTGAGGGGTTCAGGCACCAGTGAGCACAGGTTTGTCCAACAGTCATTATGCAGACCTGACTGAAACACAATGGGCAGTGGTTAGAAGCTGCAGTTTTGTGAAAATCCCTCAATCACTTTAAGAACAGCCCTAAAGCAACCAAGAAACAGCAGGGTTTTAATATATTTTAAAATTCAAATTTAGATTCATATTGAGTGAGCTGAATGTCAATGTGAATAACCAAGTTCTTAAAAGTAAATGAACGAGGTTACAATAATTGGAGTGTGGCGCCATCTTGTGGTTACCGTGAGGAATGCCAACTGTATTTTCTCAAGTCACCGGCAGGAGTGACAGAAAGTTTCGGACCGATCACAAGAAATAAGCTATAAACACTGAACATCAACAACGCGTTAATTAAAGACGAGAAAGTGTGTATACATGGAACTACTTATATAAAAATTCTGAAGGATCAGAATAATGAAGTATTTACCTGGGTAAGGATGAGAGGAGGGGATTGAATATATAATGATAGGAAAAGAAACCAGTTTGAGGATTCTTACAGTTTTGCAAATAATCTTAACCGGTTAAGTTCAATATCATCTAGATAAAACAAATGCTTATGTTAGAATTCCCTTTATGGACTTCTCTTCCACTTTTAATACTGTTCAGTTTCATCTTCTTTTAAAATGCCTTGATGATTTAGGTGTTAAGTAGCTGGATGATTTTATGGATTGATAAATGAATAAAAGATTGGCCTCAGCAAGTCAGTATCAGTAATATCATGTCTGTCTGCTATGTTAAATTGTGGTGTAGCGCAATGTGTTCTATGTTGTTCTCTGTATGCATCAATGAACTGCAGTGTGATGATGACAGTCATCTTTCGCTCATAATGTAGGCCTATATGCTTGATGATATGGCTTTCGTTTCCTGTCAGAAATAAATAAATTGCTCCTTATATTTTGAGTATATTGACAGTCTTGTCAATAATCTTGTCTAGTGCATCTTTGAGCCAACATTCAGTAAAGTAAAATACTTAAAGAGATAGTTCACCCAAAAAAGAACATTCTGTCATTAATTACAAGTAAGACTTTCGTTCATTTTCAGAACACAAATGAAGATTTTTTTTAACAAAATTTGAGAGCTTTCTGTCTCTCCATAGACAGCTACACATCTATCACTTTCAAGGCCCAGAAAGGAAAGACATCATTAAAGTAATCCATGTAAATCCAGTGGTTTTCCTCAATTTTATGAAGTGACACGAGTGATGTTATGTGCAAAAAAACAACAACAATAAAACATAATTTACCCATGTTCAAGTGTTGATATAAAAAGAATGCATGAAGATAGAATAATATGTGTGTGTGTGTAAAGGCAAAGGCTCTGTTCTTTCTTTTGATATAATGTGTGTTGGAGAACAAAATATTCTGGTGGCCATGAACGTTTTGTGAAAATGATCAAAAATTTTGGCACTGGCTGGCAACTTAAAAAAAAAAAAAAAAACACTGGCGGGAAAAGGATTAAAGTACAGTTAAAGGTATATTTCAAGTATAAAAAGTAATACCTAAATAGGAACATAGTAGTATACTTAAAATGCAAAAATAATATATAAATAGTAAATTAAATATGAATACTAAACCAATACTAAATACTTAAATACAAAACCAATACTTAAAGAATACTAAACAACTAAGCTAGTTTACTGAGAGTATACTTCAAAGTGTACTTTCATAACCTAAAACTAAAAAATGTGCTAAGTATTTAACTGGTAAACTCAGTATAAGTTCACTTGTAGTATTTTGTACTCAAAGTTGGCTACTGTTACACTTAAAGCATACTTAAAAGTATACTTTAAAAAGTTTGCCAATTTAGCCCCAAGTAGTAGGCCTATTGAAATAGTACACTTACAAGTTTACTACTAGTACATTACAATAAGTATACTATATAAAGTAGGCTTATACTTTAAAATATAACTGAACTTTACTTGAGTATACTTAATAAAATGAACATGAAGTATTCTTATATTTTGTAAGTATATTAGAAAATATATCAGCCTGGCATGTTTACAGAAATTTAAGCATTCAAAATGCATCATTCATGTGCGTATCATCACAAAAGTTGATTAGCATTAGGGGATTGTTCAAAAATCACTAACCTTAAATGTGAGCATGAGCAATAGAGCATTAGCAAACGCCGCCCACAACTAAACCACATAATAATTAGTGTGGCGTCATCTGATAGTTAATGAGGAAGAAAGATGAGATAATACTAAAAAAGGGCTCCTTTATGAAGCAGTTTAGACCAGGAAACACTATGACAGAATTTAATACATTTTATTATCATGAATAAATGTTTGTGGTGTTTTTGCATCTCGACACCGCTCGCGCCCAATGCTCGCGCCCTGCAGTTCTCAGGAAGTGACACCAGCTCAAGGTTTCACTCCTGCACGCTCACTTTCATTCTGTTGTCACAGGTGATCACACACACACACTACACTTCAACAACACGGACTGTCACCGCCGAACAAGTGAGTAGATGTAACTTACCATCTTCTGTACGTTCTGTCGCAATTGTAAAACTTCGCTAAAGCTATGTTGTGGTTTCTATAACAACAGTGCATTTACTGGACACGCAGTTGACAAAAGCGAAAGTGAAAGAGCTCAAAACATTACACCACAAAACATTAAAGCACTACATAGTGGGTATAATAACTAAGCATTTAACGTATTAAAAGAAAATAGACGAAACGTCTGCTAGGCTATTTCAGCATATTCCCTATCGGAGTTGAGTGAGTTCGATTTACACTAAGTTAGGCAGGCTACAGCCTTTTATACATATGTGATTCCTGTATTTTACGTTCTCAGAATATTTTTTTGTTAATATTGGCAATAACCAAAATATTAAAGACGTTAGTTTTAGAAAATCCGAATCAAATCAGAGCGAATTATTTTATTTAAGTAATAAAATGTAATTTTGCTCACAAGGTGAAAGTCTATATATATATATATATATATATATATATATATATATATATATATATATATATATATATATATATATATAGGCCTATAGGTTTTTTGGACTGTGTAATTTTTGTAATGTGGTTATAATTTTATTTCAGATTTACAATATTATCACCGCCCGATACTTGTCAAAGTAAAACATTCGAACGTTTGTTATGGTTACCTCACTTTTCGAATGTTCGCAGGTGATTCGAATTTTCAAAGTTATTTTAACGTTTGGAAACTTTGTTAGAACCATACGTAATCGAATAGAACAAAAATGTACTTCTTCTTTTTTTAATTCTAATGTTTTTGTTTTGTTTTGGGCTTAGATGTCGCACAACAACAGCAATCAAATGAAGGAATGCCTCGGTCAAACAAGTAACGGTGGAAACACTGTTGATCGTTCATCAAGAGGAGAATCCAGGAACCAGGACTCACGTGATCCTGCAGGAAAAGAGCCCACAAGCCAGACCGCATCTTGTGACGCTAGAGGCAAAATTGATAAAACAATGCCAACATCTAGTGAGAAAAAAGGAGAAGGGGGAGGAGAAAAAACGGGCACATCTTTTGAGAATGCAGAGAAAGGGGCCAAAAAAACCACATATGATGAGCATAGAGACAAAAAGGGCCAAAACCATGAACCTATGGACACTTCAGATTCCTCCAGCTCAGAAACAAGACCAAAGCCTGTGATAGTCCTGGGACCCACATGTCCCATCAAGAACCTCAAGACAATGGAAAACTTCAGCTCAGAGCTCAACTCGCAAATTCCCATGAAAGGACATACAATACTAATAGATGTAAGAATCATGCAATTTCATCCTCAGTTCTTGTATGCTAATCTTTTCTTATAAAGTGTGCTATGAATGAATATAATTCATGTTACTGGCTTGTTTGAGCAGACGACGCATTTCCGAAGGGGTTTAATTGTCCCCCATGAAGGGAAACACGTTTGGGATTCCCACCATGTGAAGTTACCACATCTGTATGTAAGTATGACCATAGAATGTTTCCTAAAGATCATCATTTCTATATCGAGAGCTTTTCTGAACAAGTAGCTTATCAAAATAGAAATGGTATCGGTTATTCATATTCACACTGAGTAATCGTTATTCCCCCATAGCAACTGCCTGCGTCCCACCAGAAGTCCCGTGCATCAGCCTCTCGATGGGACGCCACTTGTCAAGCGTTGCACAAACTCACCAAAGGCACTTTCTCTATTGGGGATATTCAGGTACTGCAACACTAAACAATGACAATTACTTTTACACTATAATGTGACCTGTTTTCTATCTTTTGTCTATTTGTAGACCGCAATAATGTCTTACAATTCCAGCAACAAAGACAAATGGACATTTGATGCATTCCATTATTACGGTCAGGTTAGTGAAACATTCTGCATATCAGAGGAAAGCTAAATGTTAGTGTAAAAATACAAATTGATGACAGATTTGTGCAATTGCTCTACAGCACGTACACTCAATGGACAATAATCTCCATACGGTGATCCCAAAGATGGCGAAACTGGCACTTGAATTACCTGATCTCATTAAACGGGTATGTTACAGGTTCCTTCTTTCCACAGACACTTGCATTATTATCCCTTAGTACAAGTATAACTTTAAAGTTAAATCTGATTAATGAGGCCAAATTTCTTTTTTTTCCCGGTTCCATTTAAATGTGTAGTGTGAATAAAGATGCAAGAATGAATGTAAAGGTCCATTTAACCCTGTAAATCATGACAATATTACATTTACATTACATTTCATATTTAATCAGCTGTGTTGATTTCTCTGAGATGACTAAAATCATAGAATCTGACTTAAAGTCTTTCTTAGCTTTTATGAAAGGTCTTACCGGACTCTGAACAATCTGACGAGCAACAACCAGACAAGAACAAAAAATAATAATAATAATTTCACAGTGCACCATTTAAGCTATAATAATGTCCCACTGGACCGAAGAAAATAATCATTTTCAGATTAATTGCATTGCTTAAACAAGTTTGTTGTAAGTATTTTGAGATCTGTACTCTCTGTCTCTAGCCCATTCCTCTACTGCGACAGCAACAGACCCACGCCATAACAATGACTCAGCAGCAGATCTCCTGTCTGTTAGCAAACGCCTTCTTCTGCACCTTCCCTCACAGGAACGACACTAGCCCTGGTTCAGAATACGCCAACTACCCGACCATTAACTTCAGCAGGTGTTACATTGATCGCATTAGACTCACACCACTCTATTATACTGGTGCTGTATCAATTATTTATTCATTTTATTTTTTTGCTGTAGCTTATTTGATAGCCGGAGTGACTCAGTAAAAGCAGCCCTACAGGCAGAGAAACTGAGAGCCATATTCCATTACTTCAACACCGTGACAAATGAAAGTCCTCCTCAAGATTCAGGTACTGAGAACACGCTTCACACACTTCACACACGACCACTGTACACTACCGTTCAAAAAATTGGGGTCAGTCAGATTTATAAATGTTTTTGAAAGAAGTCTCTTCTGCCCACCAAGAATGCTTTTATTCAATCAAAAACAGTAATTGTGAAATATTATTACAATTTAAAAATAACTTGTATTTTAAAATGTAATTTATTCCTGTGATGCAGGGATTTTCTAGCCTGGCTGCGCCCTCCTACGCACTTCCGCTCAATTTCATTTTCCTTCAGTACTACGTCTGGGATTCTGCTGTAGACTTTGGTTTTCTCCGATCAATTTTTTGTAGGGCCAATCAGCTAACAGAGGGAGTGGCTGAGAACGATGACGTCGTGCGTTATTTTGAGTTGTAGTTCAGTAATGGCAGCGGAGAAAGAGGCGAGCGAAGCCATTCGGTCCGTTGTAGCAACGCTGCCGAATATTAAGAAGTTAAAGCCGGAGCATGAACAATCTTTGCTTAGTTTCGTTTTGGCCATGATGGTTGTGGCCCTCCTCCCCACGGGGTTAGACATACATCACGAGCAAACGTTAGCGATTGGTGGCAGATCCAGAGTGACTCTGGGCAGATCCAATAGTTTTAGACTTCAATAGAGTACCCGCCTACAAGGAAGTTAACGATTGTCAATGGAGCGATGCCAGATCTGGCAACCGTTACTGGGCCAGAGCTGGCTCACTTCCGGCGTGCCGCTGCCAGTACACAGCCGAGTGAGCCGACACTCAGCCGCGATTGGCCCGATTCCGCTGGCTACCTGGGGACTCTATGTACAAATGAAATGTACGAGAGTCTGGTAGAACCAGGCTAGGGATTTTCCACATCATTACTCCAGTCTTCAGTCACATGATCCGTTAGAAATCATTCAAATATGCTGATGTGCTGTTCAATTTCCGATTATCAATGTTGAAAATGGTTGCACAGATTAATATATATATATATATATATATTGTTTTTAGGATTCTTTGATGAATAGAAAGTTTAAAAGAACAGTATTTATTTGAAAAATAATCGTTTGTAACATAATAAATGCCTTTACTGTCACTACTGTCACCAATTTAATGTGTCCTTGCCAAATAAATGTTAAAAAAACTAAAACATACAGAACCCAAACGTTTGAATGCATGCACATATGATGAGCAAGGATTTTATTTTTGGATTGAGTGTAACCAATTTCTTTCAGCTTCTTCAGCATCAAAACCAGATGGACTGGTTACTTTTGAAAGGATTTGCATTCAACCATCAAATCTCCCCGACTGGAATAAGTAAGTTGAACTGGTTCACACAATTGATAGACTAAAGTGAGTTGATGCGCATCTCTTACTGATTGTGTTTGATTTAGTCGGAAGGAAACCCTGAAGAACCTTCACATCTCTTCAAAAGGATCCATTGAGAAAGAGGGTGCAGGCATGCTACAGGTCAGCTTCATCTCAACATCAGTTTTGTACCCGTTCTTCAGATAAGATTCACCTCCATCATGTTGTTCTGAACAGGTGGACTTTGCGAGCAAATATATTGGTGGTGGAGTGCTGAAGTCAGGACTGGTTCAGGAGGAGATCCTCTTCCTCATGAGTCCAGAGCTCATCGTGGCCAGACTCTTCACTGAGAAACTGGCTGACAACGAGTGTCTTAAGATCACAGGTACTGCTGGGGGAATCAGCAAAGACAACGTTATCTTAAAAAACATAACAGCTTTCCGTCAGGTATAGGGATAGTTCATCCAAAAGTGTATACCTTGAGTGCAACGCAAGTCACTTTGGATAAAAGCATCAGAGTACTTATTTTGTTGTTGTAATTGGTTATGTGATTATTTTCTTCATCGTAGTCTAATCTCTAATGTCTCACCAGGGCCTCAGATGTACAACATTACTTCTGGGTATAGCAAAGAGTTTTCTTGGGTTGGTCCATACATCGATCAAGTAAAGCAGTAGGTACCACTTCAAAAGTGTTGAATTTCTTCAAAAACATTGGTTTTACAGATATGAGTGTAAGTTGTGGCACATTTATTCACAGGGACACGTGGAAGAGACGTTATCGGCAGATTGTTGCCATTGATGCTCTGGACTTCAAGAACCCGAGGGAGCAGTACACTAAAGATAATATAAAACGAGAACTCAACAAGGTACTAGTTTTTAATATATCGCTGTTTTTTTATCATGAGAATTTGTTATAAGGTTATTCAGACGTATACTGTGTGACTCTCAAAGGCATTTGTGGGATTCCACGGAACTCCGAAAACAGCCATCGCAACGGGCAACTGGGGCTGTGGAGCCTTTAAAGGGGATCCTAAGCTCAAAGGTAAATGAAGACAACACACACATACACACATGTTTGATCTGGTGAAATTGCAAACACTATTGATGGCTATGATAAATGCACAGAACAGAATGTGTTTGTCTTCAAAAGCTCTCATCCAGTTGATGGCTGCTGCAGTGGCTGATCGAGACATGGCTTACTTCACATTTGGCAATGAACATCTAGCATACGAAGTGCAAAGAATGCATGAAATACTGGCCCAAAACAGAGTGACTGTGGGTACGTACATAAACTGCATTTGAAACACACAGAAGCAGGTTAATAAAAAATATAACAAATATATCTTTTTAAGTGACATGAAGGCCAAATCTGGTAACCCATACTTGGATTTTGTCCTCTGCATTTAACCCATCCAAGTTCATGCACACACATTAGGAGCTTGACTACTCACAAAAGCTGTGATTAGTCAACACAAACACACAGCAAACTGACACACACAGCTTTGCTGCGGCTCCTGGGGAGCGATTGGGGGTTCGCAGTCGTGGGTATTGAGGTTGGAGAAAAGCACTGTTCATTCTCCCTCCCACCTACATTTTCCTGCCGGTTTTGAGAATCGAACCCACAACCTTCGAGTCTGACTCCATGAGCTCTGAGGTTGATGATTTACATAACAATTCAAAAGTAATTGATACTTTTAATCAGCAAGAACTTGACAGCAATTGATTAAAAGTGACTAAAGACATTTCTGATAATCTTTTTCTTTCTATTCACGAAAGATCATGGTGTCGACAAAAATAATTTTTATTTGATTATTTAATCAAATATATACAGCCTTGGCTAGCATGAAAAAAAATCTTACCGACATCAAACTTTTGAACAGTACTGTATGTTAATGTAGATACTTTGTGTTATTTTAGCTTTTTAAAATTTGAAGTAGCTTAATTTAACTCTTTCCCCACCATTGACGGAAAAGTCCATCCTTTGTGAGAAAACGCTACCCAGGCATTGACGGAATATTCTGGATTTTGGTGTTTTCACTGTTATAATGTAGGGGGCGCTATTAGGCCTCTTCTGATAGATTACGGAATCTCCTGATTCATGCAGAAATGAACGATATATGTAATCAGATGCATATGTAAAATAACACGATCATTAACATTAAACAGCATATAAATTAAAACTGCCTATTGTTACTGAATGAAATGTCGACCGACCCAGGACGAGTTACAGGTGAAGCTTTAGAGGTGTTGATGGACTTTATCTACTCCATCTGTTTTCATTATCGTTCTGAAGAATTCATGAAGCTAAAATAAAAGTTTTTTTTTTTTTTTTAAAAGCAGAGTCTCTGTTCTTTCTTTTGATATAATTCATGTTCAGATATTCATACAACAAATATTCAAAATATTTCAGTGGCTGGAAACTGAAAAAAAACAAAAACAAAAAAACACTGGTGGGGAAAGAGTTAATAGCCAAATTCAAAATTAAAGCCAAATAGCCAAATAAAATTACTAAAGTAACTAGTGTATTTTTGAGTTTGGGTTTAGAGTACCCTGATCATTTCTTCTTTCAACAGATAAACTGTACAAGTTGCTGAAGGACTACTCTGGACACTACGCTCGTGAACATCACTCGCCTAAAGACCTGTACAGATTCATCAGAGAGAAGATTGGGCATAAGGACAGCTTATTGTAAATGTGCCTGACTACTGTGAGATTCATACAAGCTCATTTCAGAGAAAAGTTTTCAGAACGGTTCAGCAGTATTAAACGTAAAGCTGCTTTGAATGTATCAGATTTTTGAAGGATCAGAAAAATTAAGTAACAATACTATAAAAAAAACTGTAATGTATTTTTTTTTTATACACAGGTGTCAGTCAAATTGTTTAGCTTAATTAAAATGCTTTAGTTATTCAGGATTTATAATAATTGTAGTTTCATCTGATAAAGTGCACATATGACATCTTCATTAATGCAAAATAAACACTTTACATCAAATTGATAGTTTTCTTGCAACAGTTCTTAGTACAAACAAGCAGACAAATGGAAACTGAGATGCTTTTATTGAACGAAGCCTTATAATAGTCTGGAATTAACAAACCTAAGAAAAATAAATAAATCCTTTTATTTGATGTCTTGCAGAGTCTTTCTTGCTGCATAATCTCAGCTTAAGGACAAAATGATTGTTTCAGCTTTCAGTCCTTGAAATCATCTATTGAAGGTCATGATAATTTGGCACGGAGTGCTTAGAAGGGGAAAGGGAGATATGAAGATGAGGATGAAGAATATATCGTCTTTACATTTCTTTCTATATTTTAAAACTCCTAAATGCAGGTAAGCTTAATATTTCCTTTCGCAATAATTTAAAAATGCATAGGGTTCCATGCATGTCCTTTAATGTCCTCATGCTATCATGACTTTTTCAATATGTCCCATTTCTGAGAGACGTCCATGCCAACTCGGTGCAAGCATTTCTTGCACTTCTCTGTGGTTTTTGTGCGTATTTAAAAGTAAATATTCATATTATTGAGGGGAAACCTCAAGCGGTGTCATTTTAAGGCTCTATTAAAACCATCATCAACATGCCTCAGAAAATACATGCATGCATTGTTACCATGTAGTTGCTAAAAGCTTGCATTCCTCTAAAAAAAATCTGCATTGATAGACCTGTCATACCTACAGAGTAAAGCAAACCTGTGCTTTGGTCAGGAGATACCTAGCTGCCAGTTTGCCCTCTTAACGCTATCAGCGGGATGTGAGCTTCCTGAAAAACAAGGGACGGAGGGATGAAAAAGGAAGTGAATGGAAGGGGTGAGGTGGTTAAGACCGGCCCTGGAAGGCATCCAGGTTGAAGGCGGTGTCCAAGAACCGCTCCAGCTCCATGAGATGCGCCTTCTTGTTCCCTGTGGCAGGGGCAGCTGCAGGTTCTCGGCCGGCATACCTGAGAAGAAAGCAACGCGAGTGAGTACAACTACAGATAAATGTTGCATGAGTGGATATCACGAAAACTTATTTAGGTCACCCCAAACTAAAAACAATTTCAACTCAATTTGAGATTTAAATATTAAAAATACTTTATTTATGCCTTAAAGGGGTCATATAATGGTACATGCACTTTTACAAGTTGATTGTACTGAAATGTGTGTTGGCAGTGCCTGTACACAACCATCATATAATGATAAAAAATCCATCCAGTGTTTTTGTTTTAATCTACTTATATGTTTTCCCCTGCCTCAAATTGAGCCGATCATTTGAGACGTCAATAAAACAGAAGCCCCTCCCACGATTGTTGATTGACAGCAGCGTTTCAACACAGACCCGCCCTGAGCGAGCTGTCATCATAGTCCGCCATTGTTGATACGCTGGAGCAGAATGGCATCTAAGCGATTGTGGTGTTCTGTTCTTGGGTGTAATAGCGAACACAGTCATTTTGATGTTCCTAAACCCGAACCGCTGAAGACGCAGTGGCTGAGTTTTGTTTTCGAAGGGAATATTCCCCACGAGCAACGTCAGTGATTTCATATTTGCGCAAATCTTTTCTTACTAGACTGCTTTATAAACGAGGATCAGTATAAAGCTGGTTTTGCTCCTGAAAAAAAAATCGGTGGCAACTATTTATGTTCCCTCTGCATCTCCAGAAGAAGTAAGTGTAAAGTTTTATTAACCTTTATATTAATCTTTGCAAATCGCGAAAAAAAGTTTTTCATGACCATTAGTTGTAACGTCAATCTGTCAATGAACAGTAAACACATAGCGTTCGTACCTCACTTCTCTACCGTTACCCTGCCAGTATATACAAAAATAGATCAAAGTGACATTACGTTAACCAACCATTCAGAAACGTCCTGTTCGAGCCTTAATTGTCTTAACTTCTTTGTGGCCGTCATCTTGTTTCGGGTCCGACTCCGGTTCAAACTGATACGATTGCACAGATGTGTCCTCAGAGACTCCCGCTGCCATTCTCTCTCCAAAATATACCCTCAACTGTTGTCAAGGCAACACTCCACGTGCGTTGTATCAAAACGCCGGCAGAACAGAGGGGCGGAGTGAGCGAAGCTCATTATCATTTAAAGGCATATGCACTGAAACGGCGTGCTGAAAACAGAGCTGTTTTTGACCAGGTAAAATAAGTGTTTTCTTAAAATACTAATGAGAATTTTTAATAAAAGTATATTACAAAGTTTTCATTTAGACCCTAAACATTCATATTAACTTGTACAAAAATGGCATTATATGACCCCTTTAAGAAACTGAAGCCTATTTGTATGACCATTAAAATGATTTGTATTGCGATCAGTGGCGGTTTTAGGCACGGGCGAATCAGGCAGTCGCCTGGGGCGGCATTTCTTCATGTCACATGGGGGGCGGCACGAGCAGTTAAAAAAATTCCTCTGTGCCGCGAAGGTTTTCTATTTTTTTTTATCAATGGCGCCCCTGCTTGCTGAGAAGGTGCCGTGCACAGAAGCGATGTCAAGGGGGTCTCCTGATTAGTTCACGTATCGCGTCTTTTGCGCGCTGGAGAGGGTTATTTCAAATGTAGGCGCACGGGAAGCGCGCTCATTATTGAAGCGTCGCGCTAATTTTTTTCCAGGAGCAGCGAGATGAAAAATTGTAAACTTTTCAGTATGGGAGTGTACCCAAACACTTGGGTGTTTTTCTCTTCTCCGTAAATAAATCTTTTAGCAGAGCTACAGCAAGCGTTTTTCTGTGGTGGAAATCCATTAGCTACTAAAACTTCTTTGTCGTTGTGGAGAGCGCAGTGCATGGTTGTATAGCAACGACAGCCATGGGAAAATCGGATCGAATTTTACTATTAATAATAAAAGATAAGCTACTGTGCATTATAAATGTCAGAATGTATCTTTATTGACTCATTCTTTTATAAATATGATTTAAATGCTGATATGTGAGGTTTATCTTTTTATAAAACCCTTTTTGTCAAAACTTTATTTGAACGTGTGCATGTAGATGTGTATTAGGCAATTTCATTGTGTATTAGTTTTTTTTTTAACAAGATTCTGTGTATAACCGTGATCATTTTGGTCACTATATTCATGAAATGAAAATCATTTTCATAATGATCAACTAAAATCAACTTTAATTATGTGTTTTTACAGTAGCCTATAATATGCAAAGTACAATTTTCTATTAAAAATAATCTCTGATTCTGTCCTTTTCTCTGACATTTAAGAGTGACATAGGCCTACAAAAGCTATTTTAGGTCTAAAACAGTTTGGATAGTTGTTAATATGAGAGCTGTTCGAAATTATTTAAGAGATAGCCTAAGTATTGTGTTACTATAAGTATCTCTCTGAGCCGTTCACTTTTAAAAACTCCATTTCGTGACAAAGTTTAACAAGTCATAACTAAAAGTGTGCCATGCTTAGAATTCAAGGCAGTAACCAATGCGCTAATGGTTCCTCCCTGAAAGTTAGATTCATCTAGCAAAATAACTGGATTCTATTAACTGTGTTTTTCAAATGGGGGGGAATCAGTAAATGATTCTGGATTAAAATATGAACAGGCTCTTGAGAGATTTTGTGAGATTTGCCCCTTCAAATTGAATCAAAAAACACTAGTTACCAAACAGGACGGGTGTTGTTGAAGGTTCTGCTGATGCGTGGCTTGACATAGTCATAGTAGCCTTGATTCTTATGCTCTTCCTGGCACCACAGCAGCTGAGCCTGTGAATACTTCTCTGCCTCTGCTTTCACCAGGTCAAACGGGAATGGAGAGAGCTGGAAACAAAACCTTCAAAGTCAATCCAACACAGTGCAGGAATTAAGCGAAAATTATAATGTGGTGTATAAATGTTTAGGAAAGAAAGCCTGACTAGCATGGGGAAATAATTACAGAATATGGCTCAATTAATAAAAATGAAAGTGTGTGCAGGTACCTGCTCAATGCGGCTGATGGCTACTAAGTCCTCCAGGCCTCTGGTCTTTCGCTCTTTGGTGAGGTCATAATAAACTTTCCCTGTGCAGAAGATGAGATGCTTCACTTGCGCTGAATTCTGCGATGCACTTCCCTCTTCTGGAATCAGATGTCTGAAGTGTGTGCCTGATCAAAACCAAACACAGACCATTACTACAACGTCCAAAGCATTTTTATGACATTTAAAACATTCCCAAGATTTCAAGCACACACCTGGTAACATGTCGTCAAAACTTGACTTGGCCTCTGGGTGCCGTAGCAGCGATTTAGGTGTGAAGATAATGAGCTAGAGCAAACAGAAACAAAAAAAAATATTACAAACAAGTTAGCTACAGACAGGGTCCCACACTTTTTGACTGTCCCACACTTTTCCATGGCCTGGATTTAGATGGATTTAAAAATATATATATTTCAATTCAGATTTTAAAATGATGTAAGCCCTTTTGACCGAATCACTAAAAAAAAGCAATTTAAAAGAATGATTTGCTCAGAAAGTGGGCATGACTTACAATAGCTGTCCAATTCAATATTTTAGAGCAAAAATATTTCTATTGCAGATATGATTTACCATGAATAATCCATGACTAATTCCAGACCTGGTAAGCAATTTATATTCCCAGATATTTCACTATGTGGAAAACTTGTGGAGTTGATAAACAGAGTGAAATGTCTCTACCGGCTTTCTGAAGGGTAGAAGGATCTGCCTCCGAAGAACATGGAAGTAGTTTGCAGGAGTTGAGCAGTTCACCACGATCCAGTTACAGTCATAAAGCTGTCGGACGGCAAAGTCCTCTGTGATTTTCTGTGGCAAAAAAATAAGTATTAAGCATTTTGCTAGAATGATAAAAAAAAAAAAACAGGGCTTGGTGGAAATTTCTATGTATTCTACCGGGAAAACGTCAGGGTCATCATTGCACATCTGCAGGAATCTCTCTGGGCGGGCGGAGGAGTGCTCTGGTCCCTGGAAGAAAGACAACAAGAAAGCAATGAA